ACATGTCAAACAACTTTTTAAAATAAAAACTTATTTATTTGTATTTATCAATTAGATATCTTAATTTTAAATAGAAATAGATAAAACAATAAATCAAATACCTTTTTCTATTATGATATTATAATATATATGTAATTGTTTTTAGTTTGAATATAATTAAGTTTAAATATCCAAATTTTTACATTTATTTATATACTTTTATGCTCTCTCCATTCTACGTAATTTAAAACTTCAGTAATATTTTTCATAAAACTTAGTTGTTTTGGCTTTTCATCAGAAATGATAGATTATTATATTTTTGGTATGTGAAATAGAATACGACAGTATATATTAGTTTTTTTAGCTTAATATTATTCATTCTAACTCAATTTTTTTTTTGTTGACAACATTGATATGAGGTGTAGTAATTTATTTTTTTACTTTTTGCTTGAACTTTTTTACGTTTAATAATTACTAAAACGGTAAAGGTAATTTATTTTACAAATTCATATTTTTTATACAAGATAATTAATCTTATGAGGCATGTTTGAGTCAATCGGTTAGATTATACAAGTATAATTTTTTTTTCTAATTAGATTTAGCCACATTTCAAAAGATTTATCTATTTAAAAATAATACTATCTTGATTTGACAAATAGTAAAAGAGGTAAAAGGTAATTCTAATTTAAATAGGATTAGAAATATTTAACTGTTTGAATATATGTGATATAATTTAGTTAAAAATTAAACAATATAAAAAATAAAATATAAGAGTACAATCCTCTATATATTGATTGAGGAGACATTAAGATGAAAATCCTATGTGTCACTCAATGAGGATTTCAAAGAACATGTCATTTAAATTAACCAATAAAAATATTTCAATTAATTATATATATTTTTATTAATTTTTATCATAAACCCATTAATACTTGTTTTGCAAATCTAAGTCCAACTAAATATAATATTTAGACTTACCATATTATCTATTTTAAAATCTTCTTTTATATTTTAAAAACTTTTTGTTATTATACTGTGACAATATTAATTATTGTTTATATATATTTAGATTAATATGATATATAAAATTTTAACTCATTTCATATTATTGAAAAATAAATATTGCTTTTCGTTTATTATGTCCGACAAATTCATATAAATCTAAAATTTAATTGTTTTACCTAATGCTCTATAATTTACACGAATAATAAAAACTAATTTTACAATTAAAATATAGAAAATTTTCAAAAAATGCCACTTTTTAAGTCGCACTTTCCAGAAATGTCACCTTTTCAAAATCTTTGCAAAAATGTCACTTTTCAAAAAAAAATCATTATATCATTTATGTTTGGGTTAACTATAGTGTATTAGGGTTTATTTTTTAGAGTTTAAAGAGTTTTAGAGGTCAAAATATTTTTTTAGGGTTTATAATTTTAAAATTTAGGCTTTAATTCATAATTAATGTTGCAAATAGATATCTCTAAATGGTATTTTTACAAATGTACACACTAAAAATAGTATTTTTGCAATTGTCTCTTAAATATTGAAATAAATAACATTTTTATATATTCTGTTCAATGCCACATAAAAATATTAAAATTGATGGCCTCAAAATATGCTTGATCAAAATTTAATTTGATTATACTTATGCACAATGCATATCATTTTGTAAGTTTATAAATATTAGAAACTATATATTTTCTTAGATACATTTACATATTCAAATAGATTAAAATATATTTATTTATTGAATCCTACGCTTGGTGTGGGTCAAAATCTGTAGATAAATATTTTATAGACTTCTATATAAATGATTTTGTAATAATATTTTCAATTTTATTTTATTATTTAAATAGAGCGA